CCTTGACTCCCAGCACCACTCGCCGACCCACCACCAAACGCCAATCCAGCAACACTTGCCGATCCAACACCCAACGTCGATCCAGCAACACTCGCCGGTCCAGCACCAACATTCGGAACTGCGGCAACCGATCCAGCGACATCTCGTCGAGCCAGCTCCGCCAAAAGCTCATCTCGCGACATCTTGCTGTGGTCCTTGCTCCCTTCGTCAACTGGGAGTTCGCATCTTCCTCTTCTTCTTGAGTGGAAACTATCTCCGGAATTTCTGCCACCGCCGTCTTGGGCTTCTTCTTCTTCCTTTGCTTCTTTCGCTTTTTGGCAGCGCGTCTTCGCTTCATCCTCGTCATCGTCGTCTTGGCGGCGATCGCATCATCAGTTCCACGCAAGGCCTGGTGAGCTTTGAACAGACCATCACTTGTCAAGCGAGCATAAGGAAGTTGACTCTTTTCGCACTTGTGTCGTGCCATCTTAATCGAGTCTTAGATCGACGCGAGCTGCTGGAGTTTTGTGATTCGTACGCTCGCCAACCATGATTGGAAATGTCTTCCCAATTCGTCAAGCCACACATCTTTGCTAATTCTTTGGTGAACCCATTCAGCTTGTGGTAGCCAAGATTTTTGGGAGTGTCTCCGTGCTTGGCTGGAAAAACCAAACATCACGTTTGCCAGTGTGGTGTATTCCTTTCGCTGTTTGGCGGTTGGCAATCTTGGCGAAGAACTTGACGGCTTCTGGATGACACTTTCCCTTGAAGAAACGGATGACCTTGACCGGACAGAGTTCATCATGCGGATTCTCCATACACTCAATGCAGCGATCATCTTTGTTCAACGCCGATGGATTCACGAGATTGAGTCGGTTGGTCTTGTCTTCCGGGAGAACGAATGCTTCAAACTCATTGCCGGCGAGCTCTCCAAGTCTTCGATCGTAGACACCCCCATATGTCTCTTCGTGTAAAAGATTCGCCATCTCCTTGGCTGCCTCCACGGAAAAGGAAGAACGACCAAGCACATAGAGCAGACGTACAGAAGATGCTGCGGATTCGTCCAGGGTTGGAGTCTTCCGTCACGAATCGCTCACGAATCTTCGCATCCGCATCCCAGTCAATCGCGGATTTGTAATTCTTGACTCCGAACTTGGGATCGCTCTTCCGAATCATGTACCACTTCGTGATCATGAAGCCGTGGAACTGTCCCTTTTCATTGAAATCTTCTTTGTACTTGTATTGGATGCCGCGAGCTTTGAAGAAATGGAACAAGACTTGGATGTACTGATCGAAGACTGTTGGTGCCAACAGTTTGCCCTTGTTTTTTCCACTCTTACAAAGCCATTTCATTCCACACAAGACGAGACAATGATTGAGAATGGTGTGCTTGTCGATGTTCTTGTCTCCACTCACAATATTGAAGAAGGCATAATCGACTGTCTTTCCATTCGCATAATTGGCTGGTTCCTTCTTCAGAAGATTTGCCAAGATGTCGCCTCCATTTTCGTGGATGGTCGTGAAGAATCGATTCACACAGCGGGTGATTTTGCGGCATGTTCCTTTGATACTTTCCCTTTGTCTTTGGATTCGGCTAACAACTTGAGGTCTTCCTCAGTCAGTTCCATGGATTCGTATTGATTTCCAGCTTCCAAGGCACCAGCAATGGCAGCGGCAGAGTTGAGTGTTGGCTGCTCCTGTGGAGTTTCTTGTGTTGGCTCCTGATTTTCTTCATTTTCCAAGGAGACTCTGGCGGGTCGGTTGTTGATTTGAGGAGTTCCTTCATTTCCACCGAAGTCAATGGTACATTCGAGCGTGGATTGGAAGACGTTTGGATCTGCTGGAGGAGGAGAAGGAGGAGATTGGCGAAGCCAAGGAGTGTCGCTGCAGCAGTTCCTTGAGTCAATGGTGGAGGCGGCGGAGCAACCGAGGCAAAGCCAAGGAGTGTCGCTGCAGCAGTTCCTTGAGTCAATGGTGGAGCCACATCTTCCTGTTCCTCTACGTCTTCCTGTTCCATCACGTCTTCATGTTCCTCCTCATCCTCACTACTGGGAGGAGACCTTGCCGGTACAGGAGGAAGGACAAACTCGTCGTCGGACATCTTCACGGCCGTAGCTTCAGTACTGAATCCTACGGGGGTGATCTCTTGCGTCAATCTTCAAATTTCAATGACCTCCTACTGGAGAAGGCTTCTGCTACACGTGTCAATAGTCAAAGGATGGGCTATTGTTGCGTTTCCTCAATGGGCAGTTACAGTAATCTAACAGCTTATGTCTCGGATTATCACTGTACAGATTACACACAAATGACGGCCCTCTTCATTGGCAGCCTCGGGTGTCGGCTGCGATCTCGTCTTTGTCTCGGCTTCCAGGCCTTCGGCCTTCCTTTCGCCTCGCCTGCAGCCTCGATCTTGCCTCCTCCTCCTCGTCTTAAGATCTCCGGCCTGCGCGCTACTGTACGCGCCGCACTCGGCTTCGCCTCGGAATTGCGCGTCCATAGCGCGCGGCCGTCGATCTTCAAATCAGCGGGCCGTTTTTATACAAAATGTGGCGGAAATAGGTAAATTGGAGAGCAAAATGCGAATTTTGCGGATTTATGCACGGATGAAGTGTCCTTTTTGTAGCGAGAATGAAAGAAACTCTGAGAGCTTTTGCATGACACCATGAAGTGAGGCTCTCTACGCGAGGAACGGGCAGCTATCTATCTATCTATCTAGAAGACCCATTGATTGATTGATTGATTGACTGACTGATTGACTGATTGATGGTTCCAAAAGAGAGGAGCCATGGCCATTTTCATTTTGATTGAATTCATTCCATGATGGATCCCACAGTAGAACCACCAAAACCTTTCTCATTACTCGTCGATGACTTGTTGGATGCCATTGAAGAACGCTGCTCTCGTCGACCCGATGGTGGCGTGGGACAATACAATCGCCAGCAACTGGGGGAACGCTTGGAACAAATCTTGCTGTTGACGACGGCTCCTTCTGATCATCGTGACAAAAGTAGTGAAGGACAAAACCTCGAGTGGCTGATTCGACCGTTGATCCAGGTCATTTTGCAGGAGCAACGCGTCGATAGAGCACGGACATGTCCTCCCAATCAAAGTGACGACGATGAGGGAAATGGGAAACGACCCTTGCTGCAGTGGTTGGTCCAATGGAAGTACTTGCGGCATGTCTACGGGTGGCAGGGGGAAGATGACATGGTCCTATTGCTGCTTCGCTTGGGGGCAAGAGCCGACGAGAATGCTTCGGACGAGTCCAGCAGCACACTGGTGGCGGCCGCGCAGTATGGCAGTGTGACCACCATTCGGCATTTGATGATTGAAACAAGGAGACAACAACCAAAGCAAAAGCACGAGCACAAGAATGAGATGAAAGAATGGATTGTCTCACAAGTAATCCTGTACAATCTATGGGCCAAAATTCTGGATCGAGCGTGCCCCGAAATGATGCAGCTCTTTCTACGGTACATTCCTGCCACGGAACGAGTCTGGATGACTGCTCGTTATGATTATGCTCAAGAGGATGATGATGACGACGGCGACGACAACAGTGAGGTAAAGAAGAAAAAGAAACCAGAGGAAACGCATGTGTCTGCTCTGGACTACCTCCTGAACAATTTACTCACTTGGTGTGACGACGACAACGACGACGACGAGAGAATCACATGTGACGCATCCATATCCACCAGTGCCCTTTCCTCCTACTGGGGCATTGTGGGAATGCCAACGGTGGAACGGTACAGTCAATGCATTCTGCAACTCTTACAAATGGGAGTCGCACACACTCCCTTGACCATGACGTTGCTCAGCTACATCCTAGACCAAAATCGACACGACAGGAACAACAATCAAAGCTCCTCACCACGACACTATGCCTTTCAGGTAGCCCAGGTGCTATTTGGAAACCGGATGCCCTCCTCGCCACTACTATCATCCTCAATGAGAAACTGGAATGGTACTGCCTCTACTACTATCATCATCCATCCACAGGAATCCACAGTGGAAGAAACCTACAACAATCCAAATGTCTGTGCTATTTGTCTAGAAGAGCCTGCTGAGCGTCAAACCTTTTTGTTTCCTTGGAACAAAAATCGTCGTGACAAGTCGAAAACGACACGCATGATGGAACTGTACTGTGGTCATGCCTTTTGTGTCGCTTGTCTCCTGGGATGGGGCGCCTCGGAACCCGAACGGCTGTACCATCACCATGGCAATAACAACAACAATCATAACCGACGAACAGCCATGATGGAAGTGTCGTGTCCCATTTGTCGAAAACCACTGGCACGAGATTTTCTCAACGACGAAAATCGAGAGCGTTTGGCTACTGTGGGGTACCGTCGACGCAACATTCTCGGCATGGATCCACATCTCGGAACGGAATCACGAGGACCGCAACGATTGTCCCACGACCAAACACGTCAAGAATGTCGCGCCCGTGGATGGTCGGAGGATGAAGACGCAGATGCCAAGTTGAAGGCACAATGGCAAACAGTACGACAGCAACGGCGCAATGGACCCAAAATTACAGTGGATTGCGCTGCATCCATGAGCTTGTCGCCAACCTACGTGGCGCCCAAGCATGGGCCTGTCGTCATTCCCATTACGGTAAAGGGGAATATTCCAATGCTGGCGGGGATTTCCACGGCAGCACCGTACACGGTGGTGTCTCCTTCGGCCGTCCAGTGGCTGGGGCTCCGAACGACCAAACTAACGTCCCATCGATTCCACGAGCTACGGTGTCGATATACTACTCGAAAGAGGGATGATGATGAATCGGACACTAGTGACGACGATTCTGACAGTGACGACGACGAAGTCCAGGTTTCTGTCATGAAACACGCCGTCACAATGGCAGTGGTCGATGAGCTTGTTGTGACACTGGCGGGGGGAACCTCCCAAAGCATCAAAGTCCGACTGAGGAATGCTGTAGTGCATGACAATCAAATCAACAACACACAAGAAGCGTGGAAACCAGGCATTGTTCTGGGCTTGGATTTCCTAGAGTCGGCAGCATGGACCCAAACTTGCGTGGAGGTTGATGTTGCACCTTCCGTCCAGGATTCCAATCGTCGGTTTATGGTGTTGTTACACGGCGGCCAAGATATTCAGCGTGTCAACGAAGCGGATGGGAAGGGTTTGATCGAAGAGTTTCGGTTTTATGCTCCCAACGGGAGATCCTTTCGTTCACCCCTACTTCACATCCATCCCAACAATCATCTCTTTTTCTCCGTTCGTCACGAGACTAGCAATCATCATGACCAGCACCAGAGACGACACCGCAGTACCGAATGTGAATGGTGCTGTCGCATGTTCCCCCATGTTGTTGAGGACACGGGACGAGCAAGTCGGAGGCGCGCCAAACGAAAGCGAGGCATGATTCGGTGCCAATTTTGCTATGACATGGCCATATCCGCCAAGCAGCATGTGTATTATTGTGACGAGGAGTGCCAAGCCAAAGCGTATCAAGTACATCGATACCGCCATGCACGACATCGGGGGTTGCTGGGCTCATTATGTCGAATGGCCGTGGCCATGGTGATGGATGCCATTCGACAACAATCTCGGATGTTTGTAGTGTCGTTCATTGTTGGACTTGGCTTTTCTTTGATGATTTCCTTGTCGGAACGAAGGTCCATCCCACTGATTGAGGTTTGGTCCGTGCTCAAGGCATTGGCCAGGGAAAACATTTCCAAGGCCACCTTCTCGCAGCTCTACGTACATGCTACCGGGGCCAATGCAGCAGACGAGCGCCAAATGCAACTGTTGACAAGTCGCCCTGGTTGAAGATCATGGTAGTGGTGTATGACTGGCTAGAAACGTCCCAATTTGTAACTTCGAGCACAGCTTTCCCACATCCTCAGAAGGAGCAAGTTGAGGGGAACTTCGGCAATGAAACTTGTAGCTCACAAATGATTTCACGAGGAGAAGATACCGTGCTACTACGGTAGGCAAGTGCGCGACCCAACGTTTGGTATTGGATAGGTCACTCGAAGCAACCCACACAAAGTAATAGTGTCTACACGTACATGTATGGCAAACTTCTGTGGAAATCTGATCTGTTCTGATTTGAAAGGCACGCTCTGTTTGTGCTAAGTCCGTCATGGCCATGACGCCACAGATGCAATTGTCTTTGAGGTCTGCATTGCAATGAACACATGCCTCTTCTGAGGCGTCTCTGTCAAATGCCACTTCTCCAAGTCTTCTTCTCGCCTCCTTCTTGGGGTCGGGCATTACACACTTTTGGCGAGGAGGAGACTGTGTTCTTGGATTGTACCGGCATGGAAGAGCTTTGGTTCTGACTCCCAAGTCTTGCCATTCTTGGCCAAAGGCAAGGTGATCATCCACGAAGACAGTGAGTGATGCCATAGCGTTTCCCCCATGCCAACACTTGTTCCAAAGTTATAACAATCTTGACAAATACCATTTGCTTTTATTCAAAGTGGGTACCACAATCTGTTCCTCTTCGTTGCCCCCCGCAGCGATGCTGAAGACATGCTCTGCCTGTCTCTCTCAAAGCAATCATGACTTGATGGGTTAATTGGTAGAGATCCTCCACAATCATCGGTACCGGTGGCCCCACTTGAGAGTGGCATCAATCATGTAGCTCCCAAAGCTAGACGGTTCCAACACAATATCTCCAAGACTCACGGCAGCTGCTTCAATGTAGGGGAAACCATTGACACAATGCTCTTTGGAGCAAACAGAATGTCTCTGCCAAGCCCAAACGCCATAATGCAAATAATTATCAGACCATTGCCAGCCCAAGCCTTTTAGTTGGGTTCAAGGGAACCCGAGGAGCTGCACGTATCCCTACCATGCAATCCTGGCAGTTGGGACAGCACCGCATCAGAAAGTGATTGGTCCCTTGTCAAGAAACAAGCACAAGCAGAGTTAGCAAGCTACTCCATCACTGGTCCCGTTCCATGTACCTGTTACATGTAAAGGTGTTGCTGGTACATGTAAGTAGTGTCAGCAAGATCTGAAAATGATCCAGCCAGCTAAATCCAGAGACAGACACAAATACATTATTAATTTTTATTAAAACACAGCTGGCTACTCTTGGGTTTACCACCGGAAAAGATCAACCACCGGAAACTAACAAATAACTATGAACTTTAACCCTAAATTATTCCGGTAGTTGATCCATATTCCTACCGGCTTCTACAGCAGCTCTACGCTTTCCGGTGGTTGCACCAAGAGTAGCTGGGGCAGAAAGGGTCTTGTGTGCTGTTTTTACTAGTACTGTGTCCACGTGTCCACTGGAAGACAGCTTTGGATATCAGGTACTGGTACTAGTAGTTGCGGTAAATTATTGTTGGTATACAAAAATGCAAAATAGAACAAAATTTTAACTCTATATTTACCGCAACTACCATTCTAAACCCGTCTACACACACTCGTACCGGTATGCCGTGTCTACCTGTACCCTCGAACAGTCGCGTACTATTAATTAATAGTACGGTACCGGTGTGCGCCAAGAGCCTGATCAAAAGAGACGCTCGCGGATGGAAAGTAACTCCCACCACCGTCAGTGGGACCGGTTGGTGAGTCTACATGTAGATTGCCCAGACAATACAGACTATCAACTACTAATACCAGCAAGCATGCACCATCGATTGTTTTTTACAACTCTCAACCTTCACAAAAAGCCCAACGAGCAAAAGTAACATGAAACTCTTTTGTTTGACCTCCGCCATCGTCCTGGCATTCTCTGTTGGATCCACCTCCGCTCAGCCTGACCTGTGTCAGCACAACGGTGGTGTTGCATTTTCATGTTGCACCAATCCCCCGTTCTGCGATTCACAGTACTGCACTCCTCAGTGCGTCGACACCACCCAAGTTTCTACCTGCCAAGAAGTGTCGCAAGAGTTTAGACCCTGCGACACTGAGTTTATCGAGTGTTGCTCCAGCTTCCCTAGCTGTGGCCCAAGTGCATTTGACCCCATCCACAACTCCTGCGAGCAAATTGAAGTTGTCAGAGACACAACGAACCCTGTGACATGTGCCGTTCTTTCCGCGACTGGCCTCGGAAATACCTACGTTCCTTGCTCCCGTAACAATCCCAGTACCGTGAGCTGTTGCGGAGGTCCAAATGAACCATCGGGTTCTTGTGAAAGTTGTGAATCCCTTTACACCACACCCGCAGGCCAATGCAGTGACTTTGGAAGAGTGGATTGCAGCGCCGGTATTACAATCAAGTGCGATGTGAATGTCGATGTGAATGGCCAGCAGCCGAGTTTTGCGTGCATCGATGTCAAGGTTACCGATGCCAGCATTACTTGCGCAGATATGGGCCATGTGGATTGCCCGAACACAACCCCCTCGCCCTACTTATGTTGCCCCGACGATCAATGGCCACTCTGCGACCAATGCCAAACCTTCAATATTCCTCAAGCTTACATTGATGATCCAAACCGCGATCACCCACAAGATTCAGCCTACTTGCTAACACCTTGTGACCACGCCACGCCAGCTCAATATGAATGTGGTGCAAGCCAAACACCTTGTTGCACAAATCCCCCGGACTGCACGTCTTGCGATAGTGGCATCACCTACAACTTGGCCCCCGGACAAAGAGGCAACCCCCCAGCACAATGCTCGGATTTATACCAAGGAACATACGTTGAGTGCGACAGTAGTGTCACCACGCTCGTCTCATGTTGCGATGGCCATGATATCTATTGCGAGACTACATCGAACTACAGGGTCACCCAAGCTGGTGTTTGTGAAGATATATTGCCAGCCCCTGGATTGGCTCCCAGCGCCAGCCAAACGACCATCCAATGTTGTGAACCCACACCCGCGAATCCATTCGACTGTACTACACAGGCCAACTACAAAGTTGTTATGGGAACGACATGTTCTGACATTGGAAAAACTGTCGCCGCAGGGGCTTTTGACATCACATGTTGTGATCCACCTTTGTCAGAGCCAACAAGATGCGATGCCACGTTAACTCAGACAGTGACTGCGGGAACCACATGTGGCGACCTTGGTCGGTACGACGCGATTAATCTTGAAGTCGTCTCGTGTTGTACTATGGCCCTAGTTCAACACGCGGCAACTGGCCAAATGATTTGTCCCGGTGAATCGTTGGAGAATTGCGTGGACTACACGTATGCCAACGGAGTTCGTCCTCCTACAGGCTGTGCCGTTCATGGACAACCCGACTGTGCAGTTTTGTCACTTACTGGAGGGAATCCCCCTTCGCCAGGTGGTCCATCACCCACAGACCCAGCACCTACTCCAGTTGGCCCATCGCCCACAGCACCCGCTCCTACCCAGGGTGAGCAGCCAAGCACGGGCTTTACTGGAGGCGACCCACACTTTAGCACATGGAATGCTACCGACTATGATTATCATGCTGAATGTGACCTTGTTTTGGTCCAGGCGCCTGGCTTTGGACAAGGTGGGGGCTTGGAAGCGCATGTGAGGACTCGTATCAGGTACTGGTACAGCTACATTGAGAGTGCTGCAATCAAAATTGGAGACAGTGTCTTGGAAGTTGGCAGCTTTGGCACCTATTTTGTAAATGGGGTTGAGAGTGGAGAACTTCATCATTCTATGGCACACACAGTTCTCAGTGACCATGAACATGTCTTTGCCATGGAAGTACACGGTCAGCACATCAAAGTCAGGGCTTTCAAGGACATGGTTTCTGTCAAGTTTGTCAATGTCACTAGTGAACATTTTGGTTCCAGCAGAGGCCTTCTTGGTCAGTTTGGAACTGGTCTCATGTTGGCCAGAGATGGCAAGACTGTCATCAGTGATGCCAACTTATTTGGTCAAGAGTGGCAGGTTTTGGAGAGTGAACCACATCTCTTCCAAACCAACAGGGCCCCACAACATCCAGGTGAAACTTGCAAGCTTCCAACCCCCCCTTCTTCGTCTCTTAGAAAGAGGAGATTGGCAGAGTCCGTCTCCAGAAGTGAAGCGGAAGCAGCCTGTGCGCACTGGGGAGCCGACAAGTTCATGTGCGTAAACGATATTTTGGCGACCCAAGACCTTCAATTGGCTGAGGCTGGTGGCTACTGAAACATCAATTGCGGGCGAGTAGAGTCTCTAGCTGAAGCTGGAGTTACATTGCATCTAAAAACTGGCAAGCTAGTAGTGAACATGAAAGTGTTACTAGTCTGTTTCTCATCAGTATATTGAAGCCGTTAGCTGGCTACATGAGCTAACGGGAGCTGGGCTTTTGTTTCTTGATCTCGAGGTCAGGACCTCTTTTCGAAGGACGCGTCCAATCCGTGCACTATTTACCATTGCTTGTACAGCAGGAGCAGGCCGGAAAAAGTGCAGCATTTTGGTGCAAGTGCATTGCTCTTGCACTGCTATGCTCTGCACTAGAAAGCCCTTTCCACTGGGCCCTTTCCACTGGGGGAATAACCTTCAACTCACCCCCCCCCCCCTCACTACTCACACCCAATTGTCAATAACACCCAACTTAATTAATCACACCATACTCACTTACTTATAAAATGACTAAACTGTTTTTTAAAAAGCTACACTTTCTCTATCCGCCCAGAGCCTCTACCACCTTCTTAGCTTGGTCATTGGCGACTTCTTCCTCCTGGTGAGCTCATGGAAGATCCTCATGAAGCAGCCATGACATGTTGGGAAGGTTCCTGCCCATTGTATATGACAAAGGAGGGTGTCCTCTATTATCCTTGGATACCTTCGAAAAGTTGAACAGTGTCTTCGTGCTGCCCCCCCCCCCCTCCCCCCCCCCCCCCCCCCCCCCCCCCCCCCCCCCCCCCCCCCCCCCCCCCCCCCCCCCCCCCCCCCCCCCCCCCCCCCCCCCCCGCCCCCCCCCCCCCCACCCCCCCCCCCCCCCCCCCCCCCCCCCCCCCCCCCCCCCCCCGCCCCCCCCCCCCCCCCCCCCCCCCCCCCCCCCCCCCCCCCTTCGATCCGTACGAAGGTGTCGATCAGGGTTTCTCTGGAAGTACGTGTTTCGATCATCGAAATTGTGAGGAAGGAGGAAGACTTGAAGGTCCGCGGACTCTGAGACTTAGTTTGTCTTGAGAACACTATGATACAGGTGGTACCATGTACCGTAAACCCTACGGTACCGGTACCTGTGAGTACCGGTACGATTGCGAAGAAAACTGGGCAGGCATATTTGTTAATTTCAAGGATTTAACAACTTCAATAACCTGGTCATACCGTACGGTACGGAACTGCCTCCGCACTGTCAACCAGCAGTCAGCAGCCATTCAACATACCGGTACCGGTACCGATACAGCCAGTTTGGCAAGCAGCAGTCGCATCACTCCAAGATCCATAACAAGAAGGAGATGGAAAAGGACAACTACAGGAATAACGACGGTTGCAACATTGCAGAGTCGAGAGGAGGCACTGGAGATGAAGAGACAGCACACGGAGAACTGAAGCCTGAGGATCGTAGCAATAAAGAAAATGACGACACGTTCAACCTGCTGGATGTGGTAGCAACTCGGAGTCAAAGAGGCACCGCTAATGCAGCAGAGGCAGAGCACCGAAAGTTGGCGTCATTTGATCAAGCAGGAACTAACAGGAAGCCAAAAGGGAATCCGGAAAATGAAGCTAACCAGAAAAGCGATCTCGCCACTATTGCCAACCTGCCACCGGCTATTTCTGCCGAGCAGTCCACTAGCGGGGATGACCTTGATATGCTCAAGGTTGTAGAATTGCGACAGAGAATACAGGGAATTGGTATGCAGGAAAACGCAACCGATGAAACCCAGACTGGAGGGTCAGAATCTCAAGATGGTGATTTCGACACTTCGAACAATCAAGAACAACTCTCCGTCCCTGCCGCTGTGCAACAACAGATCAATGGCGAACAAGCACAAGAAATGAGTGCCACTGGTATCGTTCCGCCACCCTTAGCACGGGAGTACAATGTTGTCCGTAGACAAGATTCTCAGCCCGGAGCTTTTGCCATGGCTGGGCCTGGCCTTGATGAAGAAGATCATGTCATTGTTATCGACGAAGACGACCGCCCCTCCAACCCGACTGCTCCTATTATAGGTCAAAACAGCGGCCTCTCCGTGGCTACATTGGTAGATGAGGATGCTGAACGCCCTCAAGATATGCCACAGGCAGCAGAGTTTATCACTACCACTACCCCAACATCACAGCGAAAAACAAAGACCAGTGTTTTGGTAATCCTCGGGTTGATTGTAATCATCATCATCATCTTGGCGGCAGTTTTGGTTCCACGTCAGCGAGAAACGGACACTGATGAAGCAGTTCGAACTCTTTCTCCATCCGCGGCCCCTGCTTCCTTTGAGGACTATGCACTTTCCCTGCTCCCAGCAGAGACTCGGATTGCCATTGATGATGACCCAGAAAAATCTCCTCAAACAAGAGCATTCAACTGGCTCTTGGAGGACATTAACATCGCGCCAGATCTTCCTGAAAAGCGCCTAATCCAAAGGTTCATTCTCGCTACATTGTACTATTCAACTGGGGGTGACCGATGGTTCAGCAACACCAATTGGCTCAACTACAGTGTTCATGAGTGTGACTGGCACAATGAACCATCGTTGCTAATGATGGACACAATGTCAAAAGCATACTCTGGGTTCCTGGAAGACTTCTTCCCTTCGGACGAACCACCTCCCACTACCTGCGATGAGGAGGGACTGTACCAGCATCTTTGGTTGGACCAAAACAACCTTGCGGGTTCACTGCCAGAGGAAATCAACTGGTTGACATCGCTTTTGTCCATCTCTGTGACGAGAAACTATCTGGAGGGAACCATTTCGACTGGTGTAGGACGACTCACCAAACTGATTGCCTACTCCTCATCCTTCATGGTGCACGATGAGCACATACGTCCCATACCTTCACAGTTTGGGCTGTTATCCAGCTTGAGACTTTTGGGACTGGTAGGAAATAACCATCAAGGCTCCATTCCCACAGAGTTGGGCCTTTTGGGCCACATGGAACACCTAGCTTTAGGGCAGAGCCATCAACTGAAAGGAACCATTCCATGTTGCTATGCCAAGTTGAGTTGGCTAACCTTGGAAGAGTGTGATCTTACAGGTAATCACAGCAGCCTCACGATTTTGGACGTCCATGATGAAAGTATACTCACCTCTTCTTCCATTCTACTTCACAGGCACCATTCCTACAGAGCTTGGGCAATCAGATCCACTAGAAATTTTCCTTGTGGATGACAATAAATTCTCTGGGACTGTGCCAAGTGAGCTTGGACTGCTTCCAAACATCTTACTTCTCAGCGCCAAGTGGAATCAACTTGAAGGGGCAATTCCCACTGAATTAGGCCTTGCCACATCATTTACCTTGCTTAAGCTTCGGGGCAATCAAATGTCTGGCACCATCCCAACAGAACTTGCGCTTCTTACTAGCCCCGCACTGTCTCTTGACTTGCGGGACAATCAGTTCTCAGGGACTCTCCCATCCCAGCTTGGACTTCTGACATCAATCGGCCGAATGAGCTTTGCTAACAACTCCTTTTCTGGGACTGTCCCCAATGAGTTATCAGCCTTGGGGAAGTCTCTCCATACCCTGAGTTTGGAGGAGAATCCTCAGTTGTCTGGAACAATCCCTGAAGGACTCTGTCATCTCAACGGCACTTGTATTCAAAGCAACTTTGTGGACCCATGCCCACCACGATACAATCTTTCGTTTGCCTGTACCAGCCTGCTGTGTGGCTGTGATTGTCCTTGTGTGTAAACATCTCATGATTTCAAGACGATATCATCGACGCTGGTCGTGTCTTAGAGATGGCTTTGGCAATACGGACAACCCTTGAACGACGCAAAACTAGCACCTGACTTGTCACTTGGTTAGGGAACAGAAGGTCACGTCCCATGAACATTTACATCGTTGATACCAAAACACTCCGGGCATGGCGCTGCCTTGACGCACGATGATCGTCGTACCGGTGTACTCGTTGATGTGAGACCATGGAAACCAGGAATTCTCATTAAACATGAACACTCAGCACCTGCCAATTCTCCGGATCCAACGAGGGCAGTTTTGATCAATCTTCTCTCTGCTCCCTACAGTCCCGATCGCAGGGAACTTACGGAGTTGGCCGGAAGTCCGACTTGGGACTGGAATCCAAGGCGCATATCCATGCACTGCGCAGGAGTCGTGAGGTCCTGACTGAATCCATCTCTCGATTCTGCAGCGACCCACCAATGGAAAACGACTTGGCAACTGGCTCTCCTCATGAAAGTTGTGCCAGAACATGTCAATAATCATCACTGCTACGATTCACGTGTAGAGTGAAAACTTCTGAAGCTGTCCCCTGGGACGGCATTGCCGTGCCGCTGCGGGAATTCGTGGGCTTGTTGCAATGAGCATACAATAAAACACATTGCTTGGCACAAGCTGGGTCAAATCTCTGCGCTGGGCCTAGTGCCGAAGCTGTGGTGAGGGGGTCATTCTGGTTTCTCTGCCGATGCCCCCTGGAGGCTTTCTAAATGCTCGAGTACAAGCGGATGCTTTTGGTTTGATCCGTGTCCATTCTACGAGAGAATCACACTGTGGCACAAGGTAACAACCAAACAATGAACTTTATTAGAGCCATCACCGACCAGGCCAAAAGCTATGCTAGACTCGCTCAAGGCAGAAAATGTGTGTTTTTAAGAGATGCATTGGTTTGCAGCTGTGCTCTCCAATTTGAGGATCTTATCCTTGAGAAACGAAACACGCTGATACCACGGAGCTTTCTCATCGACTTGTTCGGCCGATGCCTCTTCCTTGTGACCCAGCATGAGATCATTGAGCTCTTTTTTGGCTTCCTTCAGCTGAAGGGACGGGGACTTTGGAGGAGCATGAGCAACATACCATCCCAGCACAGGAGAAAGGGCGCCGTTAGAGTTGTCTTGGGCGAATCCAATGACACCAGCAAAGAACTCGAGGTCAAAAGTGGCGCCATGGTATTCCCAATCCACCGGGGCGGATGAAGCGAGAGGTGGGAAGCTGCCAAGCTCTGGGCCATAAAAGTACATCTCATGCCATGGCTTGAGGCTCTTGGTGAGACGGCCTGATCCCAGATAAGGAAATAGGATTTGCATCCAACCAGAGATGAAAGTGTGGGATCCAGACCCACCTCCTGTGTAGCGGAGCTTCACCATGGACTGCCAAAAGCCATGGTTTACATTGCCCTTGTAGCTCTCCACAAATTCATCCAATACAGGCAGCAAAAGGGGCATCCAGTACTCGGAGAATTCTGGTGTCATCAGGCTCCCCAAATGTTCAGCTCGGGCACGCAGCTGAACCCAGTCGTCCACTGTCCCTAACAATGTGATTTCAGGAATGCCACAACAAGTTCTCATGCCATAACTAAAGTAGTTCTTCATAGCCGACATGAGGGTGATTTCATGGCAAGCCTTCGCCGAGGCTGTGGTAGTGGTAAAGCTGGCTGCGATTGCTTCATGAGTCTTCTTGCCGATGTGGTCCTTGATTTGCCTCGAGAAAGCTGGAAAGATTTGGTTCTCCCATTCTTTGGCTGAGGCACCTGTGTCGGGGTCTCCTCCTTTGCTCATGGCAAAGCTAGGATCGGTTTCCACCAAGAGGCGCTTCTTTCCTTCATGCTGCACAAAATTCTTTCGTAGAGCTTCAGCATTCTTGTCCACATGCTTGGCAAAGGCATATGAGATTGCAATCCAGATAGAGTCAGGGGAGAGCTCTAATGGCAAGTGCTGGGCAAAAGCAGTCACCATGGCCATGACCAATCCGTTTGACCCTGCATGTACTAGCTTCTTGTCTCCTCCTTCTCCAGTGTTGGACAGTGCCTCCATCTTCACATCTGAAGCCGTCGTAGAGCCTGGCCCTCCTGGGTAGATAGGTAAACCATCATTTCTGTTGACAGTGTAACTTTCAGCCAGTGATGCCTGTAGGCTCTCAATGAGCGCTTGGCGGGATACTGGAGGTTTTTGGAGGTGATCCTTGAGGGCTTTGGGCACTGTCTCAACATTAAAACTAACACCATCTCCTTTGGTGATAGTGTCGTGTTTGGGGGTTACATCAAATGTGCCGAAATGATCCGCACCACGTTGAACACCTCGGATGGAGGAGGTTGGACGGCTGCCACCTCCAAGGTTATAAGTCACCCCTTGGGGAATTCTCTCTTTGCCCTGGAGATCAGAAGCGGCGATTTTAAAAGCTCGGTACATGTTGGCTTGGTTTCAAAGTTCCCTATGTGGATATCTTCTTTTATGACAGAAGGAAGGGAGACTCCACTCCGACTTTCATCTGTTGCATCGAAACGTTGATCCCAGGTCCCGCAGCCGGAATAGTTTTAGTTGGTTGGCGGTTCGTGCATGGATTTGATCGGCTTAGTAACAACCCTAACCCTAATCTTGCTTAGTAGATCAGTGTTCGGCCTTTCGTTTTCGAGGGTTTCCAGCATGAGTGGAAAGGCACCACAGATCTGGGTTCTCCAGAAGCAATCCAAAGCCAATGCTGAGGGATCGATTGTCATGTGCTCGCAGTGCCGAATCTTCCCTGCAAGCCACAAGGAGCGACACCAGCTTGTTTCGGCGGTGAACCGTTCCGGTGCCCCGGACCTGAATTCTTCCCAGGCGATTCAGGTCGAGATAGTGCTGTATTCTAGGATCAAGGAATCCAAAAGCACAAGAACCAGTTAGAGTGGTGTTGTGTTCTTGAAGCATGGCGAGAAATGCGTCTTTGGATTCGTCCGTGACAAGTTGCAACGCCGACATCGTATCCACGTCAAATGATTGAAGTCTGGTGCTGGTTTCTAGGGCCTCAATCACTTGAGCCATGCTGAACTTGCATCCGGACAGCTCGAGGTGTTTGAATTGGTGATTCGATCGAAGAAGAGCGGCGACTTTGTCCGTTCTGGTAGCGTCCAATCCAGGAAGACCCTCCATTCGGAGGGTGTGTATGCTGGACAATCTTGGTAAGGAATCGAGGACCTGTGTAGTGCTGCAGACATCCGGCCCGTCACAAACAAGCTGCAAGGGGAGTCTACTGGAGCCAGTAATGTCGCGTCGGGTGACCCAGGCACCGTCGTCCCAGCGCCGCCTCTGCATTGTTGTTTTGACTGACATAGACCCTCCTGAAGTGTGCGCGACGAAGGACAAAGATTGGAGCGAGCAGTTTGCTTGTACGCCCCTATCAATGGCGAGCACCCATTGCACTGCAACGTCGATATGGTTTCGTTCGAGTTGCACGGACTCGAGATGCCTTAGAGTCTTGTTGTTTTCCAGAACTTGTTGTAAACCTCCAATCGGATCTGTATCGTCCATGCATTCTGGTCGTTGGCGCATCGATAGGCGGAGGCAGGTAGCTTTTTCAATGGACCTGTTGTTACTCAGCTTTTTAAAAAGGAAATCAAAAGCTGGGCGGTTCCAAAGTATGGAGTCTCCCGAGAAAGACTCGAGTTTGGGGAGCAGCCGGCAATATATGCGAGCAACCTTTAGAGTCCAGAGTTGTTCATCTTGATCATTTTGACCATATCTTCCACGGAAATGAGTCTTGGTGGGAGGCCACAGGCTAACCAGGCACTTCATCATGTTCAGATCGGAGTGATGTGCAGCCAACATAAAGGGAGCTCCATCTCCCACAGCCTCAGGATAGAGTTCCAGAATTCTCTTTTTTGTGGCGAATTGTAGTTTGGAATTACGCATAGCCAAATCAAAGGGAAGGCTATTGCTGTCATCCATGCAGGATAATGCAGGTGATATTGCTGCCCTTTGGGAGAGTAGATATTGCACGACCGCGTCTGATGAATGGGAGCAGGCCTCATGAATGGGAAAGCGTCCGCGTCTTCCCACGGTTTGGAACGCTTTCTCCTGGTCAGTGGGGCCCATTCGCCCACACATGCTCTCAATCACATCAGAATCGGTTACACCCGCCATCAAGAGGCAAGCCAATGGAGTTGCTTTGGCATTGTCATCAAACCTGAGAGTGCAAAGTTGACGTGCTGCAAGACCAGGAAACCGCCCAAAAATTGGCAGCAAGACCTTTCGCGCAATCGAGTGCTTGCCTTGCAACGTTCTCGCCAGGAGAAGTTTGACCAACAGATTCTCTACCAACTCGACGATCGGAGACTCTCTATCAGCACTTGCAGTGTCCATGGTCGTCTGTTCCACATTGTTTCCTACACACAACACGAGGTTGCTTCAACATGCAACCACCAGCCAAAGATTTTCTGTGACTTGCATTCACGCTCGTGACGTCCAAGCGGACACTCGGAATCGAATCTTTTAGACGTGGCTCTCCAGACGTAACAAGGGGGCTGTTTAGAGTCGGGAAATTATCTACGCCAGACGTGATCTCAGGCGCCTCGATCGTCTCACCATCACAAAAGAAACTCACACATCAAAACCCAACTTTACCATTCTTTCCGAATTCATTTATCTCAATATCAAGATGTCCACCCGACCCACCAAAACGACCAAACGCGAAGAGGCCATCCCCAAAGGGGTGACTTACAATCTAAAAGGAAGAAGCTATCCAACTTCCGCCACCCGTGGAGTCCAACGTGGGGCAGATCACACCAGCACCTTTGATGTAACCCCCAAACATGAGTCCATTGCCAAAGGAGATGGTGTAAGGTTCAATGTTGAGACAGTCCCCAGTGCCCTAAAGGAGCATCTTGAAAAGCCCCACATCTCCCGTCAAGAGCTCATTGAGAGCCTCAAAAAATCAATTCGGCAATCAGATGTGAAGATGGAGGCACTGTCCAACACTGGAGAAGAACGAGGAGAGAAGAAGCTAGTGCATGCTGGAACGAATGGATTGGTCATGGCCATGGTGACTGCTTTTGCCCAGCACCTGCCATTAGAGCTCTCCCCTGACTCTATCTGGATTGCAATCTCGTATGCCTTTGCCAAGCATGTGGACAAGAATTCTGAAGCTCTACGAAAGAATTTTGTGCAGCATGAAGGAAAGAAGCGCCTCTTGGTGGTAACTGATCCCAGCTTTGCCATGAGCAAAGGAGGAGACCCAGACACAGGAGCTTCCACCAAAGAATGGGAGACCCAAATCTTTCCAGCTTTCTCGAGTCAGATCAAGGACCACATTGGCAAGACAACTCATGAAGCAATCGCAGCCAGCTTCACCACTACCACAGCCTCTGCAAAGGCCTGCCATGAAATCACTCTCATGTCTGCTATGAAGAACTACTTTAGCTATGGCATGAGAACTTGTTGTGGCATTCCCGAAATCACATTGTTGGGAACAGAGGACGACTGGGTTCAGCTGCGTGCACGAGCTGAACATTTGGGGAGCCTGATGACACCAGAGTTCTCGGAGTACTGGATGCCCCTCTTGCTGCCTTTGTTGGATGAATTTGTGGAGAGCTACAAGGGCAATGTAAACCATGGCTTTTGGCAGTCCATGGTGAAGCTCCGCTACACAGGAGGTGGGTCTGGATCCCACAGTTTCATCTCTGGTTGGATGCAAATCCTATTTCCTTATCTGGGATCGGGCTATCTCGCCGAGAGCCTCAAGCCCTGGCACGAGATGTACTTTTATGGCCCGGAGCTTGGCAGCTTCCCGCCTCTCGCTTCATCCGCCCCGGTGGATTGGGAATACCATGGCGCCACTTTTGACCTTGAATACTTTTCTGGTGTCATTGGATTCGCCCAAGACAACTCTAATGGTGCCCTTTCTCCTGTGCTGGGATGGTATGTTGCTCATGCTCCTCCAAAGTCCCCATCCCTTCAGCTGAAGGAAGCCAAGAAAGAGCTCAATGATCTCATGCCGGGTCACAAGGAAGAGGCATCGGCGGAAAAAGTAGAGAAAGCCCCGTGGTATCAGCGTGTTTCTTTTCTCAAGAATAAGATCCTCAAATTGGCATCTGGAAAGCAGGCCGAGACCTAGACCCAGAATGTCAATGCGTTTGTCAAAGAGAGGGAATACCAAGAGAGAAGGCGTGTTTTCAAAGTGCGACGGCTCTGGAGAGTATGTTGTGGCTGTTATTTGCCCCTACCGCATATGGCCGTCCCGTTCTACTCTGTTCGTGTGGCAAGGCAGGCACAGCCGCCTATTCCATTGCCTGCTTATCCCATTATAACTCTTCTATAATAATATAGTTTTTAAAATGTGTTCCATTGAAAGTTTCTGCTTGGGTGTGGCCCCCGGACGTAGTGGGGAATGTGTTCGTCTCAGGCACAGCCGCCCATTCTATTAAATTCTTCGATTCTAATCTATTTTACTATGTTCCATTGTTTCCCCTGGGCGTGGTGCACCTACTTGCAATCTTTGCGCTGGTTGTGTGGCTGGGATTTGTCACAGGTGGGATCCTGGCGGGCTCGCACTGTCTCCGGGTTGTGGAAATCATGGCCCAGCCGCCCAAGGACCCTCAGCGGACCGGATTTGCTTCCTGGGAACGAACACAAGGGAGAATGGATTGAACCATGCAACGCTGCCACGTCTGGCACCCACGTTTCATTCCACGTTGCTGACAATAACCTTTCCTTTCCATTCCCACAATCTTTGGGATTCTCAGGAAAGGGCCCAGCAGAAAGTCCAAGCGCCAGAAACAAACGCAGCAGGCGGCACAGCACACAACCAAACCTTCACCATGACCAACGCGACGAACCCAACACAGTGGCCCAAGTTCGAACACGCCGGAATCTGGTACGCCGACCACTGCGAGGTCCTCCTCATTGAACTAAGCGTTCCAGTCATCTTCCTCCAGCGGTGGTGGCGCCAACGTGCGAAACCTCGAAAGAACCAAAAGGTTTATACGATCATTCGCAGAGGTCGCTTCTTCACCGTTGCCGGCAGTGCCGAGCGGCTTCGATTCAAGGACCCAGCACTCCTGAGAAAGTTTCGTGCCTTCGAGAAGCTGGATGGGACAAATTTGGGCGTACGCTGCGATGGTGCCGTGTTTGGTCGTCGCACAAGAGTTTTTAAAGACTCCTACCAAAAGGTGCCCCTGGATGGCGTTGTTCCAACTGCCAAGGAGGTCCGGGCAGTCAAACAAGTCTTACTGGGCTCCGAGACAGCCAACGGAACAGAGCTGGTCCTGTATGGCGAACTCATGTGCAACCCCCGGAAATTCGACTACGACGAGCGCAGCATGGACTCCAAATTCTATTGCTTTGGCGCCATGGTGCGGTTTCCCGACACATTCAGCGGCAAGGACGTTCTCGCCGCCCAGCGGGCGATCAAGCAGCGTGGCTTTGCCCCCACCATCAACGGTAACTCGTCGGGGCGTGTTGCGTTGAATGATCGGCTCCGTGAGCTCCTCGTTGGACAGGGCATTCCTTGTGCGCCGTTGCTGGGCGAAGGGCCCTTTGGAGAACTTTGTCTCTCCATGAAAGCCACTCTCATGAAGGATGGAATGGAAGGTGTGGTATTGACCGGAGATGACGGGAGCCTGAAGAAGTGGAAAACGAGCGTAGAGGACGAGTCCAAGACACACGCGATGTTGAGTGCCCTCATTCAGCAGCATCCCCGTTACGTGTTCGAACTCGCGGGCGTGGATGTCGATGTCATCCAGTGTATGATTGACGTTTCGGCCAAGAAAACCACAACAGGGCAGGCAAGCAAGGCAAGAAAGCCCAACAAGGAAAAGAAGAAGACGACTGCCAATAAGACAGCGCCATTTGACGACGCGACCCACGAGGCTGCTTTGGTGTCCGCCATGACAAAGTACGATGCACTGGAAGCTTACTTTGATAGAGGCGACCAAGCCACCATCATCGGCTTGTTGAACAAAGAGGTCACGGACGACCTGGGCGCCGTGGGAAAGGAGCAGATCAAGTGTATAGGAGCGGCTGTCGGGAAGAAGGTTGGAAGTGCTTTGGGGCGGTGGAAGAACGTGCAAACCCGAACCGTGTAGTTGCAATTTTGAACGTGTCAACCGAATCGACAAAACTTTAAACATTTATTTACATGTAATACACCAATGCCATGCACCGCGACGCGATCGTGGCTACCGTAGCTGGCTATACTCCCAGCCAACTGGACAAGAACACGCGGCTATTCCACAGGGCATGCACAGCGATGGTTGTCCATAGATTGTTGCTGGCCATGTAGAGGCCCGCCCACGTCCATCCCAGAACGGCCAGCGGCAGAGCGGCCGTCAAGCTTAAATGATGCGCCGAAAAAACGACGCCACTAATGAGGACGCTGGCCCACACGGGGAAGAACAGCGACAAGGCAGGAAAGAAAAAGGCTCGGTAGAGGATTTCTTCCCACCAGGGCGCGGACAAACACGGAGCAATGTACCCCACCAGACTGGCCAGAAAATCATTGTTTTCGGGGTTGATCAGTTGCGTGACAACTCCTTCTTGCAGAATGGCCTCTTCCAAAACTTGTTGTGGCAGTGTGTACAAGTTCACAAAGTCGGCCATGTTGAAGAACCACGCGGATACACTGTAGCCCCCAATGATCCACCAAATCCAGGTGTTATTCTTCTTTCGTGTTGTGGTTGTCGTTGCACTCGTATCGTCGTCATTGTTGTTGTTGCTGTCTCCACTACTACTATCACTACCATTGTTCCAAATACTTGTTTGCCGGTACCATTTGGTAGTCCGACCAAAAAAGCGTGGTCGTGGCACAATCCCCAAAATGGCACTGCCCACACCCACCCATGTCAAATGCCCCAACAAGACGCACAAGGATCGATGCATGGCCACCGTCATTGGGAATCCGACCCCGGCCATGGCATAGAGTGTATCTTCCCAGAAAAAGGAAAACCGTGCCGTTGCAAAATACGTTTGGACGAGTAGATAAATGGCTAGCGTGACGGACCCCTTGGTGAGGATCCGCCGTCGATCCGCGACTGTCATGTTGGCCAACAAGTCTGCTCCTGCACCCAGTCCTCCTTGTTGCTGTTGCGTGATGGATTTTGTTGTATTGTTGTTGTTGTTGTCATTAGTGTTGACACTATTAGACATGTTGGCGAAAAAGGTCATGGTATTGTCAAATTGTTGCTGAATCGCATCACTGATCTGCTGAGAGATTGCATCCAAGCGTGGAAATGGTGTAAAAGACGAGTCCTCGGTAGTAGCAGTTGCAGCAGCAGCACTAGGGGTAAAAGAAGTGCCAGTGTTGTTGGTCACCTCTGCTATGTCCGACTGCTGCAGCACTGTTGTTGTGTTGGTAGTTGCAGTGGTGGTCTCATCATTCTCCAACATTATCTGTGATGCATTATAAGACAAGGATGGGACTGCTGCAGGCGTTGTTGTTGTTGGTTGTGATGATTCTGTGGTTGCTGCAGTGACATTGGGAGAAGTGGATTGTTCCTTGGATTCTTGTGTGCTGTTCTTGTCGGAATTTATTGTGGAAGAACGAGTGCCTGGCAGCACTTCAATGAACTGTTCTTCTTTTTCAGTGTCATCCGGTGATGCTGGTTTGGTTCTTTGCAGTCCAACATTTCTGGGTAACTTTTCTAGAACTTGGGAGACAATGTCATCCATTTCTGCCTTGTCTTTCGATTGTTTTGTATCTGCTGTCGTGCTAGTAGTAGTGGCTTGTAGTGATGATGATGGTGGTGATGGCGATGATGGCACTGATGATTTTGTTGAGATGTGATCAATGAGTTGTTGCCAGGGATTTTGAAACAAAGATCCTTTTTTGAGCGCCACAAAAATAGCCAAGAACATCATGCCTGCCACTCTGTACCAATATACAAACCAAACAAAAAATAATGAGTGTTGCTCTCTCTCTCTCTTGACATCATATATTTTGTTTTGGTGTTGCATACTTACGAATCCCATCCCAGAAAGCAGAAATGTCCCTTATTGTTGGGTATGAGTTGAAATGGAAAGAGAATGATATGTTGACTGAGGACCATTAAATGGAAAAAGTAGTACACCAGCAAGATGGCCCATTGCTGTGCTTGGGTAAATGGACGGTGGCACCATTGGATGACCTTTCGGGTAGTGTCGGTTAGCAAGGACCGAATTCGTTGTACGATGGCTGCCATAGATTCGCCTTCCTTCCAAGAGCTCGTTTCTTCGCCGCTTTGTATTCTGACAAGATCTCGTCGTTGTCTTCTGGTATTGATCACAGAAAGATGTCGTTGATTGGCAGGAGAGGCAAAGTCAGATCGCCATCTTCTGCCCCCATTCATCGAGTGCTGCTGCTGTACGTTCAGAGGAATGCCATTGCTGGAAAAGGCACTGGCAAATGGGGATATCAGTACTAGCGCCAACAGCGGCAGGAGCAGGGTCAGGGGGAAGGTCATGATAATACAGTTGACGTTTCGAAGGGCAATACCCCGATAATGGCGCTTCGTTCGTTGGCTTGCTGATGGCGAGCTTGGTCCAACGATATCAATCTGTCTACTACTAGAGCCCGTCAATTGGTCTGAAGCTCTTGATGAGAGGAAAGGGTACCGGTAGCAGCCAAAGATATCGTGATCGGTACTGCCGCCAAGCATGGCCGCTCCTTTTTTATTGACACTCGTCGGAAGCTCACTACACTGACGTCAGGTTTGCTTCAGGGTTCAGGTTCTTTATTGTGAGGTCTAAATCTCAAACGGAACCTTTCCGACCTCTTCGCTCTGAGACCCTCCGAGATGGCGGAAGAAAACGAACCTCACGCAATCACGTGCCAACATGCAGTTTGCCGGCATGGAGGTGGTCACAAAATTGCCAATCTGCAAACCAAAAACAACAACAATCTATTCCGTACACTACCAACAACAACAATGATGATGAACCCGAGAGTTGTTGTCCTTGTATCGGCTCGAACGGGAGCCTTGCGCAGCACGTCGTCACGTTGCATGAGTTCTCTGGCTTCCAGTGGCACCTTTTTCCCGAAAACCAACACGGATGCATTGCTTCGAAAAAAATCGTCCACAACCACAACAGTGTCCAACGACGCAGCATTCGACAAGATTGCCTTTTTGGGCGTTGGGAACATGGCACAAGCCATACTGAATCCACTCATTAGCACTGGTTTGCAACCGGCCGATCAAATCACATTGATGGATGCCAATCCATCCACACTGCAACAAGTCACGGAACAGCATCCCACCATTCAGACAGCCGACAGCATTGCTTCTTTGCTGCAAGATGCCGATTTGGTGGTCTGTGCCATTAAGCCTCAAAATATTACACCCACGTTGCTGCAAGAGATTCAATCCACAGCACCGAATCGACCCGATCATGCCACCTTTCTCAGTGTCATTGCCGGAGTGCCCATTGATACGTACGTGCCCACGGGATACGACAAGATTGTCCGCAGCATGCCCAATACGCCCGCCATGATTGGACGAGGCATGACTGTATGGTGTTCCACAAACTCCTTGACGGCCACGGAACGGAAGCAAATCGAGTCCGTGTTGCAGTGTTTGGGGGAAACGGTACGTTCCTTTGACAGTGTCTTATTGTGTTGTGTTGTCGATCGAGCAATCATTGAAAGTCCACGGTGGCCATGCATCGATCTTTGCCATGCTTCCATCTCTCTATATGAAATCAATACTCAACTCACTCATCCACGTGTTGTTTGTTTGTCTCTCCCCACTTGCTTGCTTGCTTACTGCTATGATGATACTGATAGATGTACGTCGATGACGAGCGACAAATAGACATGTCCACTGCCATTTCTGGATCGGCGCCCGCCTACGTGTTCATGTTGATGGAAGACATGATTGAAGCTGGTGTACACATGGGATACCCACGGGACAAGGCCACCAAACTGGTCTATCAAACACTGTTGGGATCCACATTGTATGCCATGGAGACGGGAGAACACCCCGCCATCTTGAGGAATAACGTCACCAGTCCCAATGGCACCACGGCATCGGCCATTTACGAACTGGAGAATGGCGGCTTTCGAACTGCCGTCAAGGATGCCATGTGGGGATGCTACCGGCGGTCATTGGAAATGGGAGGCCATGAATCCAATGTCGGACCCGGCAGAGCTCCGGTATTGCCGACGGAAGAACGCATCTTGGAACAACTGTTGGATCCGGCCAATCCCAACACGGATTACATGCTGACCATTGAAAAGAAACCGCAGCAAAAACAGGGGGATACTACTAGCAGTAACGAAGAAGAGCGTTGGGCAGCATGAAGCAGGTAACATGATGATGATGAAGCAACCTGTGGAGCAGCTGTATTACCAGCCACTTAATATAGCCAGTAATAGAAATGAGCAATCTCTTAGTTGGTATACATAGCCACATTTCGAACTCAAAGGTTCAGTAACATATTTAGAGCAGCCTGCTTACCGTCACAGCACCTGAGCACGTCTGTTTATATTCCATGGGCAACAAGATTCATCGTCCCCTTTTGATCCACGTGAACACTCCCTCAAAGAATATGCTCGCAAGTTCAACACGGGGAATCCCTGTGGAACCTCTCGAGTGTTCCACATTTCATGGTCTTTTTAAAAGGTGAAGTTGATCTACATGTAGCTAATTATCATAGGCCCGATCTTTCTGGAGCAATTGCGCCAAAGCGCCAGTGATCTGATTCATTTCTTCATGCAGAGTTTTCATCTCAAGCTTCAATTCTTCCTGCTGCGCTCTCATCTCAGCCTTCATCTCTCCCTTCAGCCCAGCGAGCTGCTCTTGCTGCGCCTTCATCTCTTCGTTCAGCCCAGCAAACTGCTCTTGCTGCGCTTTCGCCTGCTCGCTTTGTTGGTGCATCATCATCTCTTTGATTTCGCCCGAAAAGTTGCTTTTGTAGCTCAAATGCCCTTTCTCTCCTCCATTCTCAGCGTGGCGTTCCTTCAGCCTCCTTTCGTCTTCGTCTTCGTCGTCCTCATCCCAGTTTTTGACCATGAAGGTGGTTTGTTTACTGAGTGAATCCAACTTAGCTCCAAGATCGTCCAGCTTGTCCTCCAGTCTAGTCAACGAGCCTCCCGACAGAGACCCACTTGCCTTGGAATCACCAGTGTCTTCACCATCCTTGGCACCAGTGCTTGCCAGGGACCTCAGTTCCTTCCGAATCGCGTACAGATAGTCCGCTGTCGATTTCACTGTGCGTACCATAAGTCAAAAGGGTTGTGTTAAAGGAAGTGAATGGAACTGAACCTGTCGATTCCAGACCACCTTGACACGCCAACTTACTGTTGTCGTAGACGACTGCTGTGTCTTCGTGAGATGCTTGATTTCCTGGGTCCACACCCTTAACTGCGTGGAGGTTTGATGCGATATTTAGAATCTGCAGGCAAATACCAAGTTAGATAGTGGCCATGATGATTGCATTTGACATACCAAATTGAAGCAAACTTACGTTGCTCAAAATCATCAGAAGACCTTGAAATACACTCAGAGCCATGTTCTTAATTTCCCCACAGACGTTGTCGAGGATACATAAGGTGTCACAGGGACATTTCAAATTGGCAAGATAATCCATCCGTGCCTGCATTGCTTGTTCAGCCGTTTGCATTCCAAAGATAGTCCACTTCATGTCAGTGTCACCTTTGGCCATTTTACCTGTTGACACACCTTTGTGTGTGTGTGTGTGTAGGTGTGTGTACGTTGAGTGTTGTGTGAGGTGATGTTGTGTGTACGTGTGTGTGTGTGTACGCACGTGAGTGTACGTGAGTGTACATGAGTGTACGTGAGTGTTGTGTGTGTGTTCAATGAAATGATCCGATTAGCTCTTTTACAGCAAGATAATTTCAATGCAAACAAGGTGAACGAACTTACTTCTGTCTGGCCCTTTAAGAATTAGTTTTGGAACATTTCCATTTGAATCTTCTTCCGGGAGGTCTTGTTTGCTGGCACTGCTTCCTGATCCAAAAAACTCATTCTGCAGGAGCAGGGGGTAAGACACACACAAAAAGACATGTATTTATAGTGACGCCCACACCACAATTTCAACATACCAAATCATCAAAATTCCTGGTGAATTTCAGCTGTTCAATGTCTTCACATATTTGGTTGTCATTGACGAACAATGCATCAAAACTGGACTCAATAAAAAACGTAAGGCATCATCGTTAGATTGAAAAGCCAGCCATGGCAATCTTGCCGCTGGTCGAACTCACCCAAAGTACCGTCTTGCTTTCCCACACTGCTCTTGTTCCGTGGAATCCTCTATCTTTGGTGCACTTTCAAGGTAGGTCTTAAATGCAGGTTTCCCTTCATCTTCAGCATCCTGGATATACTTTTGGATGCACTTCTTGAGACGTGCACAGTTTGCTTTGGGGGCAGGACACCATGTTCCTCCATTAGCATCACATGCTTCAGCATTGATCCCTGCCAGGTACGGGCCTGGATTCTTGCACTTGGCAGAGCAAGAGTAGGGCTGCCCCCACATGTCACCATCAAGCTCATATGGAGCATCTAAGCAACAGCTTTGGGTGTCAACCAGGGGCAGAGAAGGGTGTTGAGCAAAGTGGAGGGCTGCAGTCTAAGCGGGGAAGCATAGTCATTTAAATATTCCAACATACCTTCCAGGCATTGAAACACCATCATCAACTATGGCCTGAGTGATGCCACAAATGAACCCTTGAAGAATCACAAAATGAGGCATCCTGGAATGCTCATCTTTATCAAGCCCACTTGATACCCGATGAATTGGTCTTACCTGGGGAGGTCTTTGCTCCGAAAACCAATTCAATCCCCTTTTGCATTGGTGCAAAGATGTCACATTTTCTGTGCGCTGCCAAAGTCTTATCCACAACACACTTGTAGTACTCGGCACCTTTCCATTCACTACCTTTGCAAGCAGTATCAATCTTGGCTATTTCCTTTTTCAAGCAAGCATCAGTCTCTTCTTTAACAGTAGCGTAGGAACTAACCGAATATGCACTTCTGTCATTGTTGAACAGCTTTCCGTGTATGTCTCTTGCGGCATCCTCAAACAAATCAGCATCTGCAGCGTTGTCATACTCCCCACAGACTTTGCGATAATAACTGCTCGCGCCACACCCACTTCCCTCCGCTGCATTGAAACAAATGGAGTTGCTCCAAACGAAGCAGCCGCACGGAAAGGAAGAACTGTCTTTTACATATACCTTCCCATAATTAGTTGACATACCCAATTTTTGACCAGCGACAAGGCATTCTTGCACACTGGAAACCTTCTTCTTTCCTGCGGGACACTCAGCCACATTCTTATTTGTCGAATATCTGTCAGGTTTTTTCCTTTTCGCAACCTTTCCCTTTGCACAGACAACATTGTAATATGAAGAGTAGTCAGTGGTGCCACATTTCAACTCCGCATTGAAATAGATGCCTTTGTCACTTTTCTGAATGTAGCAGCCACATGGATAGCCTTCAGTATACTGATTGAGCCAAAGGTCTCCATCAGTGTATGTCTTTCCTCCCATCTGCAAACCAGCCTCTTTGCACTGTGCAAAAGTTGTGATGACTTCCAAGCCAGTAGCATCACAGTTCATCTTCCCATCAGGTCTTTTGACATACTGGTTGGCGCTCGCACCTGCGGAAGATATATCGTATCCCATGGGAAACTGGTATTTGTCAATACTGCACTGTTTACTGTTTTTGCCCTTGCAGCCTCCATAGGGAAAGGATTCCGCATCTGTGTATTTCTGTGTTCTGTTGTAGAAGAGCCTCTCAGCACACTGGAATGGCTCCACCACAAGTTCCCTAATCAACTTTTCCTTGACAGTTGTAAGTTTTTTCTTCCAGGCAGCAATAGCACTCTCAGAATATGATGGTTTGCCCACCATACCTTCAAAGATTGAACTGAACTTGACATACTGTGTAGTGCCCTCAGCTAGACAAACCTGACTCACACTGGCACCTTCCCAGCTTGGGATGCTCCCTTTCTCAACTGTTCGGTGGAATTGCTGGAGAAGACTGCTGCATGAAACACCATCAAACTGAGCATCTACTGCTGCAATAGCAGCTTTTAGGATTGCAATGCGCTTCTTATCAAAATCTTCCTCATCGAAATGGATGATATTATCGTCCAGCTTTCCAGTGTTTTTATCAATGTCATCAGAGTAAAAGTAGACCTGAAAGCAAAAATAAAGAAAGATTCAGAAAATGGCAGGGCATTGGTCAAGACACATCAATTGGGCAAACGGTTCAAGACCCACTTACAAATTGATCATAGAGACTCATTCCAAACGCACATAAAACCAGTTGCACGCATTGGCCCTGCTTTGACAAGCGCCGAGTATGATCTGGATGAGCTGCAAGCCTCCTCCCGTTGGCATCACGCCTGCTCCCTCCAGAATTGGTTTGCTGGTATGGATACATATGGGAGAAAGCAGCATTCATATCTCCATTCAAAATGGCCTCCCCAAAGCTATGCAACACATTCACGCGATGACTTGAATGCATGCCGCCACTGTGGGCATGGAATGCCTGTTGTGCCCTTCGATGGAATTGCCCCTGACCGTAACTGCGACTGTGACTGTCTTGATAGTCGGTATTGAATGACCCTCCATCCTCATTGGCTTTGTCAAAAGTGAAAGGTCTTTCAGAGTCAGTGTATTCATTAAGCTGGCGACGTTCCAATTGCACAGTCTGGAGGTTGCTATCGGTGTCATCTTTGCTAGAGCCATTACCCAGCAAATAGGCTCGAAAGGACGACACCGCATTATCGGCACTCCTGATGGCATCCTGCACCTGCCTCGCGCCCATCTCAACCACGGTCCTCATCTCCCCAAACTGCAAGTCAGGATCAAGCTCGTCCAAGTCAACTGCATTCACAAACTCTGTGTTCAAACGGACCAAGGAGTCCTTGAGCATTTCCATAAGGTCAACCTTAGCTTCATCCGAGAGGGTGCCAACTTGAGCAAGCATCTTGTCAGTGATTGCAGTCTCCTGGCTAATGCTTTGGACAATGTCAGCAGAGTTGGGAATACGGAGGTTGGATTTGGCTGGGAGAAAGGAAGGAACCTGTTCAGCCTGAAAGGTTGGGAGTTGTTCGTCGTTGGAGGACGTCTCGACGACGCCATCGGCAACATTTGACGCCTGCGCATGAGAGCAAACCAGGACACTTGCGCCGAGCATGAGTCCTACGAGAGAACGGAGGTGAAACATCATCTTGATGGTGCTTGCGTTGGCTGTTTGCTTCGTTGGTATGATAACTTGACACGTCTCAATTGTTTTTCAGTTCGAACGATTCGATTCCTGTTCGATCGACTGCACTCATAGCTGTTGCTGAGCGCAGTTTTTGTTATTGTGACCTCTTTTGATGAAGCACTTGCAAAATTCTCACGTTGCTCAATCGATCCACTTTTGCCAGATCTCTCGACTCCTTGCCAGATTGCGGCGATCTTTCCTACCAGATGCCATGGTTCGCATTGACCTCGCCTACTAGTAGCTACTATTAATAGCTAGACCGAGAGTTGCTCAATTGTGGGTGTGCTTCTATTATTAAGGGGCGGATGTAAGGACGGATTTACGGTGAAACTCTTCCCTAATTCTAGGTAAGATCTGAAAGGCACATTTGAGGCACTCTTAGTACAAACAGGAATAAAAGATCTAAAAGTTTCGAACTATTAAGTCACCGCACACCCGTAGGTACTGTAGCCTCAAGCCTTTGCGCTACGCACGGTCCTTACCAGATGCGCCAATCTTTCCTGCCAGATGCCATGCCAGATGCCTCTTCGCTTCGGCCTTCTGGAAGGCGGCCCCTTCATACGTGCTTGGCTCCAAAACCCAAGAAAGTCGCATGTAAGTCGCGAGTGTGGGGCATCCGAATGTGATCGAATGATGAATCGAATCGAATGATTGAATCGAATGATTCAATCAATCAGAATCGACGAAAGTACTGCTAGCTACGGTAGCTAGTAAAAAGAAGGTTACAATGAGGGAATGATACCGGGCACCAACACACCACGAAGTGGGGTGTTGTCGCCAGGGCTACCTTGAAAGAAGTGTGCAAACTCAAACATAATCCTCCTTCTATCTGTCTATCTGCCCAGGTATCGCAGCTCCCGCTGACTTATTTGTAAACCAAGGGTTAAAAAAGTGGTTGGCGGGTTTTTGGCCAGTGTAGTAAAACAGATGGTAAAAATTGGTAAACAGGAGGTAAAAGGGCGTTTGCAGGCTGAAAAAGGCGGCTGAAGATTGTCGAAAGCGGTTGAAAGCAGTTGAGTATGGTAAGAATACTAGTATGATAGTAGAAAGCGGTCAAGGTTGACCCGTGCCACTTCTACGGTATGATAAATGATTTACTGGACAGAAGGTACATCGTACCGTACCGGTACTTCAGGACCTCTGTGGAAACGTCATTCGTGGCAAAATACTTAAGAGACGATACACCGAGGAATAGGAGACGATCGAAATGATTTAAGCGACGAAAGCAATCGTCTCCTATATTTAAAAGACGATTCAGTAGGAGACATTCCAATTATGGGACGAAATTTTCGAAATAGGAGATGATCCGAAAGATTTAGGAGACGATACCATCAGGGTTCGCTAACCAGTCACTAGGGTTCTGGTTATTGGTTAATGGTTGATCAACCAGTCAAACTAGGGTACTGGTTATTGGTTAATGGTTGATCAACCAGTCAAACTAGGGTACTGGTTAATGGTTATTGGTTGATCAACCACTGGTTATAGGTTATTTATAGGTTGATTAACCAATAACCACTGTTGAACCAGTGGTTATTATCTAGGCCCCAACATGCAGTGCAAGACTTGTGTGAGTTTGCTTCCACCCCATGCAGTTGCCTAGGTTGCCATAGCCCCAATCAAGTTCATGTAGTCCCAACATGCAGTGCAAGACTTGTGTGTAGTTTGCTTCCACCCCATGCAATTCCCTGTGCACACCCTAGGATGCCGCATCCCTTTTTCTCTCATCTTCCGCACCTTCTCCTCTTCCTTAGAGTAAAACTCAAGTTTTTCCATCATTTCAGAAGTGATGTCCTCCACAAGCTCCTCATTAACGACAAACAGCCTGGACAGTAGCTACTTGCTTGGACAGTAACTACCTTGCTCGAAGGACAAAACACAGCCGGACGGTAGCTATCTTGGAGGCAAATACCTAGACAACCAGTCGAATCAACCAGTCGAATCAACCAATACCGGTAGAATCAACAACTCGAAGTTCGAAATCAACCAGTCGATTCAACCAATAACCAGTCGAAATCAACCAGTAACCAGTCAAATCAACCAGTCGAAAATGTACTGGTTACTGGTTATCGGTTGATCAACCAATAACCAATGGTATTGACTGGTTAGTGGTTTTGGTTGATCCGACTGGTTAATAACCAGTCAACCAGTAACCAAAACCAATAACCAAAATTACTGGTTAGCGAACCCTGGATACCATACAGTTTACATGGTACACTTAAGAGACGATCCGTTGAGAATAAGAGACGATCCGTTGAAAATAGGAGACGTTTTAAGAGGAGACAAAAGATTTAGGAGACGATCCGTTTCGTCTCCTATTTTTAGGAGACGAAATCCATTAAATAGGAGACGATCAAAAGGATTTAGGAGACGAAAAGTAGCACGACTCGAGTTTCCACAGAGGTCCAGGGCACAAGCCTTAAAAGGCACAAGCCCTGCCAAGAGAACGAGAAGTTGGAATTTTGTGATAAAATGTGCGTCTTAACATCTGAAAATGAGACGTGGATACACTTTTACCTCGCTACCGGTAGCTACCAGCTACCGGTACTGATAGCGGCTACGAGTGCGCAGAAAAGCGGCCCCATCCCTTCGTCTCTACGGAAAGACACGGTCTAAGACTTAGTAATGCAAGTTTCCAGCGATCTTTCACAGACATACAAGTACCAGTACGGTATATGTTACTGTTTTGAATCTTTCAAAAAGAGGTATTGTGATCTCCCGGCATTCGACCAAAGGCCCCTACATCAGAAGGAGGAGGGCGCATGCAGCCCAAACACGGGAACAAAATGAACGTCCAATCCGGAGCAACACAAGGACCCGCGGCAGTCTGCCCTGTCACCCATATTAATATTCTAACTCAGACTATAGCTAGAGGATGCTTCATTTATTTAGTCGCTCTTCTTCCTTGCAAAACGGTTCCGGTTCATCATCCACGCAATCGCAACCGCCAAAAATGCAGGCATGGATTTGGAAACCCAAATGATCATTCGGGCATTTGAAATTGCACGCAGGATATTAGCAGTGTCATTGGTGCGTGGATAGGGCTCATTGGAAGCAATGAAACTGAGACAGTTGGCCTGAACAATTTCAGAGACTGGCCCCAGAAAGTCACAGAGAGGCTTCCACCCATCCTTTGCTCGAAACACAAGAAGGTTCTCCCGGTTCACAGTTCTCAAGACATCCTCATTCCAAGCATCATAGAAGGCAGGTAGTTTCTCAGGCTCATACATGGGAAGGTCAACACCACCATAAGAACCTTCGAAATATTCCGCAGCTTGGATGACTTTTGCTACCCAACGAAAAGGGACATCTCGGCACATTGCAGGAACATTGAGAATAGTATTCACCATGCTGTTGGCCCACTTTGTTGCTGCCTTGTCTCCTTCTTCACTTCTGATTGAAAGAATAATCTTAGCTTCCGGATATTGTTTCATTTGTTCTTTGTATTTGAATGCTGCCGGCATATCCACAGTGGCATTGAACCCATCGTTGGCCAAGTCTTTGAGGACTTTGTCAAAGCCAATAGATTTCTTCACAAGATGCTGATGCCAAAAATCTATCTTCCCCTTTGTCTCAACCACCTCCATCATGTGATGACATCTGAGTCCCAACATTTCCAGTGCTGTTTTGAGACTAGCAGTGCCTGTTCTGGGTAAACCAGCTCCAATGACGAGGAGAGGTTGGGGTGGCCCTGTGTACTGGACAGCCCCCATTCCGCCACTCAAAGCATTTCGAATGACTCTAATGGCGGAATGGTCAAATCGGTCCATATTCTTCTTCCTCTCGCCAAGACCACCGAGCGCAGCCACAGACAGTACTAGCGCCAGCACCACCAGGAACAAGAGGAACTTCATGATCGATTACTTGCGCTCGACCGCGTTAGGTAAGGGCGGTGAAAGAGATTCTGGTCAAATACAGCGTTGTCGAACTTGTCGAGGATGAATAAATGACATCAAGAGTCAAGAGCTCATCAAGGCTGCTGCGACACTCCGACACCACGGTCCGTGGTGTGGGGTGTGTGACTGTCACTCTGTGAAGCCGAGAAGCTCTCGGAAATTGGGACTAGATCTTTATGTACCGGTAGCAACCGTTACTGTCTTTGGAGTAGATTAGACAATTCAATTCTCTACAGCTGTACTGTTCTTTACTCGGTCATAGTACATTCTCCCCGGGATGCTTATCGTGTCGACTTCAAAAACCGAGTGAACAACAAAGAACAAAGATTGCCTTTCCCCATTCAACGGCAAGAGGCATGAGCTTGGCAGCTACTTGGCACAGCGGCAACAACCATCAACCAACCAATCCAGCCATTCTGCTGGAGCTTCTGCTGGTAAAAGCAATGCCTAACGTTCACTTGTGCTTCTTGTCACTACCGTATTGTTTCTCAACCATCTGAGTGCCCTTTAGATGGAAATGCCCTACTGAGTACTCTGTATCATTTTGGTACGACAGCTACCGGTACAGGTACCGGTACCATATCCGGGGTGGATGTAGTCACCAAATCATGTCGTTGCGAGATCTAGCTGGCTAGCTATTATTATGCCACTCGAAATGAGTATCGCTCGATGGAATGAAAGCGCACACCTGTAGTTGTGGTACCGGTACGATTTACATCTCTCATTATTTTCCCTGAAGGTCCAAGCTCAGAGATCGCTACGGTAGCCATGAAGCTCTTCTTCCACCTCCTGGTTCTGTTTCGATCCTTGGGATCACTCGCTGCTTCCCATGTTGACTCGAGTCAATGGCAGACGGTGCCAAACCGCTTCGAACACAATCCTGCTGGTGCAATCCAACACCTCCTCAAAGGAGGGGCCAATGTCGATGAGTACTCGGGGCCACCGCAGCCAATGATGGTCATTGGAGCTGGTCTACCAAGAACAGGAACTGCCAGTTTCAAAACAGCCATGGATATGTTGGGCTACAAGTGTCATCACATGATAGAACTTCTTGAAACCAATGGGAAGGAAGAGTTGTGGCATCAGCATCTTGTGCAGAAATCACTCTCATTTGATGAGATCATGAATGACATGGCAAGCCATGGGTTCAATGCCACTGTGGATATGCCGACAGCCTTCAAATACAAGGAACAAATCAATCGATATCCCAAAGCTAAGGTCATTCTGACAGTAAGAAGTGAAGAAGGAGACAAAGCAGGAAAGCAATGGGCCAAGAGTATGGTGAACACCATTCTTCAGCTGCCACGCCTATTGAGTAGTATTCCACTGAGCTGGTTTCCTCGAGCATCCCATACCATTGAATTTTTGGAAGGTTCTTATGCTGGTGTTGACCTTCCAATGTATGAGCATGAAAAATTGCCTGCCTTCTATGATTCTTGGAATGAGGAAGTGATGAAGACTGTGAACCGAGAGAACCTTCTTGTGTTTCGAGCAAAAGATGGGTGGAAGCCTCTCTGTGACTTTCTGGGGCCAGTCTCTGAAATTGTTCAGGCCAACTGTGCTAGGTTCATTGCTTCAGGTCAGCCATATCCGCGGGTCAATGACACAGACACAATCAAGACTGCCATGTCCTTTTTTACAGCATTTAGTCTCTTTGTAAAGGCTTTCCCTGGGGTTGTCTTGACCATTGCGGTTGTGCAGGTTTTTCTCAAAGGTAGTTTGAAGTCAGCTGCTAGTAGGAACAAGAAGCATGCGTAACCTTGCAGCCTGTGACATGTGGAATTGTTGTTTGTGTGTGGAAGAGGACGGAAGGTAGCACCAATTGCAATTTGTTTGTGAGAAAAGCCAGCGTTGAGTCCTACATGTGCGCTGTCAATGAATTAGTGTTATTAGTTGCTTGATGAGAGTCTACCATTTCTGAACTTTGTAGCCAGCATACAGACCGTATGTGTCACAATGGCTTGCTTCGTCAAAAAACACGTGTTTAGTCACCTGCTTACTACAGATCGTGCTGTCATTGTGGAAATCGATGAAATATCCAACATAGACTTCCAGACTACCGTGTTAGAAGAACCATCTTGTCGGTCTCTCAGCTCGAGGGATCATATCTCCGCACCCACCTCGTCGCAGGGCTGTCTTGGTAGACCACCGCTGCCGTTGTTCAAAGCCACTCATTTCTGACCCCGCGGATCCTACAAATTAAAATTCCCCCCTCGTGTTGGTCCTTTGATGCCCCTGATCCCACGAAGCCCTAGGCCTATGCCCAGTCCCAAATGACTTTCATGAATACTAAATCTTCCCTACTCTAGACCCACATCTAGCTAGCCTTTCAAAACCAATGGATCTACGTTTTAGTTCTGATCCATGTGACAAAACACCAGAAACCGTTTTCATTTCACGCCTCGCGCGAAGGACCAGTTCCAAAGCGTCTCTTTTTGTCATCATTTGTCGTATTTGTGCTGTTTTCTCTTGCGAGTCGTACGGTTCCATGTGTGCATGCAGGTTGTTGTCTTTTTCCTGTGGTATCCCAACTTGCCAAATTAATACAAGTCTTCTGGGTTTTGGGCCCCCATCTCGGGAGGTTCGTCATCTCCAATAATGGCTGGTCCACCTCCCACATCGACCATGGGAGTATCGTCGTCACTATCCATGGCATCATCAATGTCGTCATCTTCATCTCCATAGCCATCACCACGATTTCCACGACGTCCCTTGCTGTTTTGTTGCTGTGGGTCCATCACCACCAGGTCACTCTCCACACACGCCAATCGAATGACCATGGCATAGGTATCATCCAACACCTGTTGGCCCATGTTTTGCAATTTGCGACGGGTCTTGTTGCATGACGGGGTATCACGAATCAAGGATTGGGTCCGACAATCCATCCGACAATCCCGCAACGCTCCCTGACGCATCAAGCGTTCAATGACGCTCACCAACGACGAGTTGTTGCTGTCATTGGCCGCAGCAAATTCCAAATCCTGTGCCATTTTGGCGAGCGATACCCGCTGGTACGGGATCCAGTATTCCAAAATACAGGCTTCTCGAATTTTGGGAAGAATCTTGTCGAGATGGGGCGCCAAAAAGAGATCCAACTGCAAGTTGGGTGTAAATTCTTGCAAATGCTTCCACGCCGCTGCGTAATTGGCCCGGGATGCCAACTGAAATAAGGCTTCCTGGAGGGGCGGTGCCAAAAATTCCAGAGCTTCCGGGTGTTCAATCCATTCCTGCAGCACCTTGCGAGATGCCGATGCCATGCTGGTGACGGCCGCGTAGGTGGCAATGTCCTCGGGAGCAATGAGCGTATCCCAACCAGCACCGGACGTGGCACAGACTTGTCGAAATTTGGCAGCCGCTTTTGGAAAATCTCCATGGGCCAATCGTTCCAAGGCACTTGCCACGAGCAGACGGTCGGCAATATTGTTTGTCGTGGTGGCAGTGGTGTTGTGCGCGTCACTGCTGCTGCTTCCGCCCGGCAAGAGCGTGTGCTGCACTTTGAATGTAAAATCGCGGACCTGATTGTAGTTGTGCAAGTGAATGGCCAATTCGAGTACCAAAAAGGAGACTTGACTGGTTTGCTGTCGATTGGTACAGTAGTCTTTGGCCCGCAATGCGGCATGATAGGCTTCAGTCAAATCTCCCCGCAACACGTCGGCTTCGGCCAATGCCAAGTAGGCCGTCCGGATGGCTTCCTTGTTCAAGTGCGCCTGGGCCGTGTGCAAACGTCCCGTCAACATGTCACGAGTCCCTCGGTTGCGGGCGTCGGTTTCCACCAAAAAGTCGTGATCGTACACCACATTGCCACTGCGAGCACGAGGATGCGACGGACTCGGGCCATTTTCTGTAATAATAAAAATATAAAAATAGACAAATTCAGGATTATGATAAAAATAAACAAATTCATCTCTGCTCTTGTGCATGTGCTTACCATCTCCAAAGACCTCCTTGTATCGAAGAACATTTCCATCTTCCTTCATTTGGGTCTCTGCCAGTTCATACGCCTGCGTCACCAACGAGGCATCTTGGGCCACCTTGCCAATGTGGAGCAAGCGCTGCAAGCGGGTCTCGCCCTTGTATTTTTGAATGTACGCTTCCAAATCCATCATCCGATTCTCTCTTCTTCTTCTTCCTCTTCCAGTCGGACGTGCTGCGAGTGCCAGCCTTTCTTTCTACTAGCTAGTAGAGAGTGAGAGTGGTCCTGGTCGTTGACGATGGCTTCCTTGCTTGATGGTGGCGGGCCTCGTCTTTCTTTGTGCTTTGTGTTGATCAAAAGATCGTGGTGCTTTTTGGGTCCAGCACGATAGGATCTTTTCGCCCCTTTATTTTGGGGGCCCCCGTAATCTATTAACGGTACTATGGTACTGTGGCATTTCGTGCATGAGGGGGTCTGCAAGCACGTGACGTCCTGCAAACGAATGATTGAATGATTTTCCATCCCGTTGCGCCTGCGAGTCGAGTCGAGTCGTGCCGTATCGTAAGGTTCACGGGGGCACCTGCTCACAAAAACAAAGCAAAACAAAGCAAAAGCAAAACAAAAGCAAACCTAAGAAAACCTAAAGCACAAAAGCAAAACAAAAGCAAAACAAACCTAAACAAAAGACAACACAGAGAGAAATCACAAGCAACAACAATGTGGCCATGGAATGAACCAGAAAAGAAACAAAAAACGGAAGCACCCGTGAAACCAGTAAAGCCAGAGAATGATCCCTCCGACTGCATGCCGGATCCAGTCTATGTTTCACCGGTGCTGGCAATTGCTTCCGGCGCGGGGATAGGAATGGGAGTTACAGCGATTGCAGCACCGATCCAGTTCTTGGTCCGCAACGGAGTGGCTGGTGGTCTCTACGGACTTGGGCTGTACTCCGGAATGAGGTTTCTGCATCAAGAAGAGCCGGTGCCGTCCTATGTGTGCTTGCTAGGCTGGGGTGCTGGGTTTGGTTCCGGCTGGGAAGCATTCATAGATCATGCTTCCAAAGCGAAACCTCAGCCTTGGTCGACGGTCGCCAAGGCTGGTGCTACTCGCAGTCTTCTCGTGATGAGCTTGTACGTGTCATTCCATACGTTCCTAGGGGATGGCAAATACAGCGCTCATCGGGATCACAAGAACTGATGACGAGAACTTGCAGTTCATCAGCAATCAACTTTCCAGAGTTTATTCCGGTGTTCCGAGAAATGAGATCGGGTGCGGACGACTGCTTTCAAAGTATTCCTTTCCCACAATGATGAATGTATCCAAAACGAATGAATAAAATAGTAAAACGACCAGTGTCAAAAAGAGGATAGAAGAGGTGTGCTTTTAGACGGCGTAGCCAGTCACTGGCCTGCGGTTGAAGGAGGCCGATATGATGGCTGTGTTGCATCTGAAAAGACCACCGTGGAAAGCAAAACACGGCCAAACGCTTTCACCACTAGGCCCGTAACAGTGGCGTGGAAAAGTATCACGGGTAGCTAGCAAACAGCGGGCTCTGGCTAGAATGTAAGTAACAAGGTGCTCTCCTCGGCAACCTTCGACCGGATCTGGTTCGCTGACTCAAAGGTTGCAGTTGTTTCATCAATCTATCATATTGAAGCATTGGCCTGGCACTCCCAGTTGTTCCCTGATCCACTTGCTCGAAAGAGCCATTGGAGCTATTGTAGCCGCAGCCAAAGGAACGTGTTCATTGTCATTTTTATCGACTTTGTCCATTTGATAGGAGCATGTATGGAACGATCAACTTGCGAGAAAACCAGGAACTACAAAGGGCACCACCACTCATGGCTCATGGGGTATTGTTCCCTTTAATCTGTGGCATGGAAGCATCAACTTCAAAGAGGATGAAAGGGAAGAGAGGATGGTGATTCAATTCTTGTCGCCACAGGCTTTCGATTGTGATGCAGTCGCAACCATGGCAGATCCAGGATTGAGGCTCGTTGCCTCGTCGCCTTAGCCAATAAGCGCAAGGACGTCGCTAGCTGTAGTACCGTACGCTTGTTCGGGATTTCGACTAAAAGCTAGAGTAGGGAAGTTATCTACGGAAGCTGGTGATATGATTTTCTGTATTGTAATGTGGCAATTTGCAGCAACAAGAGCGGGTGATGGGCAGGAGTCGGTATTCTAAGCAAGCTTCAGTCTGCAATAGTTGTCACACTTCATGAATTAATTGCCCCCGAATGATGTAGCGGATTGATTGAATCATTCCTGATCAGATCAGACTGCCTCACTCATATCCATGAGCCCATTTCAACTCGCACGATTCTCTGGTCCCCTCATCCTGGTCATATCAATTTCAACGTCTCTTGTTTTCCGGAACCAAGCGGAATGCCGATCAATGCGGTTGATCTTTTCGGTGATCCCTTGGTCCTGCTTGAAATGAAGCCAAAACTTCAACACATCGGGATGGCTAAAGACATCATCGAAAATGACAATCCCACCCACCGGAACCTTTGCATACAAGCTGTACATGGAAGATTGATACGAATCATAGAAATTCCCATCCACACGTAACACCGCAATGGATCCCAAATCATCATTGAATTTCAGTGCGGGTGCCGTGTTTTGGAACATGCCCTTGACAAAGTAGACGCGATCGCTCAAGACGTGAAAGAAGTCAAAGTTGTCTCGCACCATTTGTTCGGTTGTGGCGAGATAGTCCGAGGCACCAGCGTACGTCCCAGGAGGCAAGGTTTCAAATGCATCGACGACCCACAAATTGCGTGGATACTGAGCATCGTTGGAGACAGCGGCGGCCATAATCATGGAACCACCTCTCCAAACACCCAATTCCATAATCGCCCCAGGAATCTGGTTGCGATTGACTTCTTCAATGGCAGCTCGAAAGTTTTCAAGACGCTTGTATCCCACCATGGTGTATCCATAGGGCGGCCAGTCATTGCCGTAGTTCCGTTCCTCGGGAGTGTAGGGCAGCGCCGTTTTGCAACCATCAATCAGATTGCATTTGCCATGGTTGGGAAAGCCTACGACAGTCTTCATGATGAGATCAATGTAGGGGGATGGCTCATGGTAGACAAGACATTGTTCCGATTCCATGTCGGCGTCGGGTGTGTACCGGACATGTATGTCGTCATTGATTTGAACATCCAGGCAGACTTTGGGCTTTGACGGAGCAGACGAGGAAGAGGAAGTATCAAGAGCAGTGCCTCGAATGGAGTTGCTCCCGTGTTGGTTGATATTATGCTTCAGGTAAACCGTGAATGGTTCAAAGCGGCTGCCGCCCGAGAGGATCAAGACCAGAATGAGGATAAATAGCAGGGCAAGTCTCTCAGTTTGATTGTGTGATGCCTCTGCCTTCTGGGACGATTGTTCCGGGTTGGGATGAGAGGGATGACACAACTTGTCGCTATCAGATTGTGCTCCCGCACTTCCATGGCTGCTCCTGGATGTCATTGCCATTGTAGAGCTCATCACTGTTATGCTCTTCGGGATTTCAGCTCTTAAGATATGCGCTGTCTCTATCCTCTGGCAAACAGGACGAGCACACCTCTTGACAGACTTCTTCCGCATGATCACAATACCCAACAAGAGTGGCAAGTCTTTGGAGCGTGGCCCAAATTTTTTGTTTCAAAGATCGATAGGGTTGGGAGTAAAGAGAAAAGATCTCGGATTTGCCGTGTGGGGTTTGCGAAATACAGTGTAGATCTAACATACATGTTTCAATTTTTTTATTTTGACGTCACTCACTGTCATCAAGCAAGTCTCTTCCCTTCCTCCACTTTAGTCTTTATTTATTATTCTGAAAGCTACCGGCACTCCGCAATGGTGTTGGTGATTGGTGAGACATTGAGGAGAGAAGTAGAGCAAACGTAGATTAGTAACAGAATCAGAGGATGTCACAGCAGCAAGGCACTTGGTTAATGAACACCTATGCTTCGTTCCATAGAAGGCATGAACGGCTCAAGAATTACGTCCACAATGGATTCCGATACCCCTTGCCACCGTGGGGCCGAGCAGTGATGGGGTTCGTCTACTTTACACTCCCAGTGATCGGTGGCTATCACGTGATGCAATGGGCAATCTCAAAGTCGCATGAAGAAATTGGAGAAAGAGGTCCGTGTCTACCGTAGTTCCAATGGATGGTACTTTTCATGCTACTACCCTGCCACTCACACGGCTCCCATCTTATTCAATTACTGTTTGTGTGGTGTTTTAGGAGAAAAACTACGGAACAAGCGCATCGAAGGGATTGGCGACAAAGTGGTGGTAGATGAGTCCACCGGTCAAACGAAAAAGGTCGGAGCGGGTGGTTGGGGCGGTGGTGTCAATTTGGCCGTCAGCAACGAAACCATCCAAGAGCGCAATCTAAGAAGGCTGAAAAAGTGGTTGAAGAAGCAGCGCAAATTAAAAAGGAAAAGGGAGAAGGAAGAGGCTGCCAAGCTACAACAAACAGTAGAAAGCAACACAGATAGCTGACAAGGGTGGCAGCCAACAACGGACAGGACATGCATGGGACCTTGCCATTCAGCACAAAGGCAGCCATCCAACCAACCAACCGATCAGCCACGAAACAAGCAAGTTTTTGCATGATATGATTGAATGGATTGGCGATATAGATGACTTGTCAGGATCCGGGACTTGCTTCTAACCTTCTGGACAATCAGTGGTGACTAGTTGTTTCGAAGATCATGAACGCCGTGTCATGGCTGGCTGCTCTTCACTGCTTTCTTGTTTAAAAGCAGCCAACGAAGGCAGGAAGTTGAGCCTGGCTGCATTTCAATCTGCACACGTAATGAAATATGTAACGACTGACCTTCATGCGCCTGCCAGAGTGATGCATGGC